GCTGAATTGGAAGCCGCTATCTCCTCTACCTATCTTCACCAAAATGCAGGGACTTGTACCTCTATCAAAATCGCACATACTGGAATGGATTCCAAAAAAGTTATCAAAAACGTCGAGACATCTATACCCGCCGTCGTTCGTAAGTTACACCAGGTGAACACGAGGCGAAAGCCCCAAGCCAAGGACAAGAAAGTTGGGGAGGTCGTTCCCAGTTCGAAATACAGCAAGAGCGAAGAAGAGCTGAAGCAGGAGCGAGAGGAGGCCTGGGAGAATATACAAAGCTTGGGTATCAAGACACATTCGAGTGTGTGTCTACCGATATGGAGCTGTGACCTGAGCGATCGTTGGATTAGTGCTGCACCCACCTCTGCTACACCTATTAATGCCGTCACGAACGGCACAAAATCAGCGAAGAAGTCTAGTAAAGCGCACGAAGAGGACGACGACACAATGTCAGAAGGAGAGAGCGAAGAGCTCGACAGAAAATTGAGCGAAAAGATGAAGAAAAGCACCCTAGGGAGTCCCAAGAAGAAGACGAACGACGTTCTTCCGGAGGAAGGGGCCCAGACGAAGAAAAAGAAGCGAAAGGCCGAGGGAGATGAGGAGAGTGGTCCAGTCAAGAAGACTAAACTCTTATCCACCTCGAAGAGCTCGACCAATGATGTACCATTGACATCAGATCCCACTGCTTCGAGCGTCACGGCGAAAAGGAAACCGTCCTCGCAAAGCGATGCTACCTTGTCTTCACAAGATGATGAACTACCAAAGAAGAGGAAAGCTGAACGAGCCAAAGCTGCAGACTTTCTGGAGATGGAGGAAGATGTACTCCCTGAAACGGCTTCTAGTCTACCAAAAGCAAGCGAGAAGAACGCATCAAAATCTGCAGCCAAGTCCACTACATCTCAACCTAGCAAGAACGAAAAGAAAGACAAGGAAAAGAAGAAGAAATTGGAAGTTGAGATGTCGGAATCCGTTGCTAAAGGATCCAAAACACCCAATGGCACCACACCTACCCCTCTTTCCTCTTCTAATGCCGTACCTGCAGCCTCATCCCCTGCAACTCTCAAGTCTGCACTAAAAAAGAACAGTGGTTCGAGTTTGACTCCTGCCGAACTCTCTCAAAAGAAGGCCAAAAAGA